GGTGTTCTTGGTTTTATCTCCCCTCTTGTGTTTGGGTTTCCCTGGGGGCTCCTGCCTTTTCTTAGACTCCATTGCAGATCTTTAGCTTTCATCCCCTGAGATTACCCAAGAAATGCTGAGGTGGGGGTGTGTGAGAGAGGGGAAGCATTTTCTAGTCCTCTAATTAGGACTTGGTCATTTCGTTTGTTACCCAGTCCCCAAATTGGGCATTTTGCTTGTATCCCCTTGATGACTAGAGTTCAGCACTGTGTCTCCTCTCCTCCGGGTATGGCGCTTCATACTAGGTGTCATCTTGGCTGGGTTGAGGAGGGCCCAGGTGGATGGTAGAATGTTATTTCTGGTTACGTTCCTGAAGGCGCTTCCAGAAGACAGTAGCATTCGAATTAGTTGACTGAGTAGGACCTGTCCTGGCTAATTGGGGTGGCCCAGCAGTGAGGGCCCAGAAAAACGAAACAGAGCAAGGGTGAATTTGCTCTATTAGGGCATTCGGACAACTGCCTCTGGCCTTAGACATCAGGACTCGAGGCTCTCAGGCCTTTCCACACTGGGCCTACACTGGAAGCCCCATTTTCAGTCACACATCTCCCCTTACTCAGACCTGTGGGCTGAGACTGAATTACCTCGCTGCTTTCCCTGGTTCTGCAGCATGGTTTTAGGCACCCTGACCTCCGTAACTGCAGGAGCCGACTCCCGGAATAAATCTGTTCTCCTGTGCCGGAGCCTGTACCTGAGCCTGGGCCCTGCTGTTGGCCCTGTTTCCCCTAATTATCCCGAGCCAGGCAGGGTTTGACAAAACTCCGTTTGTTTAGGCCCTGGTAGGTTCCTCCTCTTGAGGGAGGGTTGTGTTGAGGAGAACAGGAGTTCTGGGCATATTTCAAACTAGTTACTCTTTCTCCTTTCCCTTCTTGAATCATGAGGGAATTTTTCTTTAATCTTTAAAGTGTAAGATGTGTAATAAACTTTCCCCAAATAGTAAATTCATAGATAGATAAAATATAAATCAATGTGTAAATGTTCATCCCATTTAAAAAGTTTCTTTTGGATGATAATTCTTTTGAATATTAGGTAGGAAATGTGTATTTTATTTAAATCCATGACCTTTTTAAAGAAGAAAATACAAGTTGCAAATTTATTCTTTGGGAGAAGCAGCACTCTCAATGGCTTAGGCATTCTATTTTATAGAAAATTTAAAAGGTGTTTATTAACAAAAGACAAATTTAAATAGTTTTCTTCAATGTAGAAGGTAGTAGAGATTGATATTTTGGTTTTAGAAATTTAAAGCATTATTCTTCCCAGTCTCTATCTATAATGATATAAAATAGAGATCAACTTTAATTAAGCTCTTGTCTATATAATTCCCCTACAGACAAAAAAAAAAAATCACAGGAGTTTTTAGTTGTTGGTTGTTGGATACATTATGTAAAGTAGAGGCCTTTGCTTTTTTAATTAGATGATTTTATGATGTTACACAATTTGGAATTAGTGAAGACCAGGAGTTATTTAAATTATAACTTGGGGAAATCAGTTCTCTGTGTAAGCATTAACAAAAGGAACTAATGATAAGGTAGAAATCTGTTTAAAGATAAATGTTAAAGGAAACACATTTGCTGTAAGGCAATACTGAATCCGATTATAATCTGACAGCTCTTTTAGGGGAAGAACAATGCATTAAAATATTTGGACCTCCCAATATGTAATGTAAAATACAGGGAAACTAGTTTTGGATTACTAATAAAATACACAGCTGTTTAAATAATAGGACTTCAAGGAGCCAGATTTAAATTTTTCTTTTAATATTATCTTCCTCATTTTTTTGTTTAATATTATCTTTTCAGTAATCATATTACTATCCCAAATAATTCATTAACTTAATTTCTTTTTCCTCTTTAAACCAAATAGGTAAGTCTCAAATAACCAGATGCACAGAGTATTGCATCATACAAATTTTAGTAAGAGGATAAGTGCTGTTTTTTTCTCCATGATGCATAGCCTGTAACACGTGTTCACAGCTGTTCACAGAATAAAAATATAAAGCCAGGCTATGACAAGAGGAGGCTGTGGCTGCACTGTCGGGGCAGAACAGGACCCATGTATTTCCCCTCATGTGTTTCTCTCCCCTTTAATTCATTTTGATTGGGATTGGTGTCTGCAGGAGTAACACAGTATCTGACCTCCAAATTACAAGTTGCACATTCGTGTGCCTCCTGTGCACTCGGCACTTAGGCGCCTCTTTTTATCATTATGAATCAGATATTACAGAACTGTGCACAGAGCAAGGCATTCATTCTTTAAAAGCACCACTGTTAGGGAGGTTTTCATACCTGGTCCTTGTAAACATTTCATTTTCCCTTTGTTTCTCCCATCCTATTTGACGTAGATCCACGATGCCTCAGATTTTTCCCTTCATTTTGCAAAGTTAATTCAAAGAAGGGGAGGAATGGAATGGAGTGTTTCTAACAATAAGCCAAATTCATTTGAAGAGTAAAAATAATTGCTGTACACCATTAAGGTGCAAGCACATGCCCGCTGTAATTGGTGCACACTTATTAGGAGCTCTTCTTTCCACCCTCCCTCGGTACTGGGGCCCACGATGACGTGAATACTTCAGGGGCATGTGTGATTCGAGACAGTGTAGTTCATTCAGTAAACATTTCTTAGGGTTTGATGTGAGTGAACTGAGTGTCACATATGATTTTGCACTTTTATCCTTGCAGGCAACTGACAGGTCCCTAATCTCCATCTGAGAATCTTCTCTCAGCGTGAACTTTGGCTCATAAAGGTCATTTCTGAGCCACTGGGGACAGAGAGCCACATTCATGAAATCCCACAGAGTCGATAGATGCGATAATAGCTTTAGGCACATTTTCTTAGGGCCCGAGGGAAAAGACAATTTCAATACATGTAAAACTATGGCATCCACAATCCATACACAGTATCTTAGAAAATCTCACAGGAAAAAATCCGCTCTTTTTCTTCAGGCAAGAGCCTCCTTAACCATAACGATGTACGACACAATAAACGGTGTGAGATTCTAAACCTGCCAAAAAAAAAAGAAAGGAACACACACACACACACAATCTGTTTGCTTGAAAGCCCCGACAACAAAAAGAACATTCATACATTTGAGGTATCCTTTTTCTTGTATGTTCTGGATAGTTAGACCTTACATTATCAGAAGGGTTATACATGTATGAAAATGAATCAAGTTAAAAATGAGAAAATGACTTACGTATATCACTTCATTATGGGGTCATTTAAATATATTTTGGTTTTCTTTTTACCTATTAAGAATACAAAAAGAAGGCAAGGAAAAGAAATAAAAGGCACACAGGTTAGATAGGTCATGATAATTAACATAATTAACAGAAGGCTCCTTGGCAGCAGATGTCAAGTTAAGTAGAAAAGGGCATTCCCTTCCCTTGATATGCTATCAAAGGGAAAGGGAGAGGATATGCAAATGGAAGTGGAAACTAGAAGTGTGCATGTTTTAACATTTGAATACTTCACAAAGATATTTTGGAACCATGATTTAATCTATAGGAGAATTTAACAGATGGCATGACAGTATTACTCTTTTCCTTGTCACACACTTTAGCAGTCCGATCTTTTTTCTTTCCTTGGTATACAGTCCATGATGCAAAGGAATTCTTCTTGAAAGTAAAGTAAGTATCTCTTCCGGAGAAATATTTTACTCAGTTTTCTGCAGAGAATTCTGTGTAAGGAAAAGAAAAAGATGCTCCAGAAAAACTTCAAATTCAATGACTTAAAAATATTTTAAAATGTTTTTTTCACATGAAATTTTTCAATAGATCAAAATGAATCTCTTCATTTAACTCCAATTATTATTTTAATATAGTTTAATGTATTTAAATCTCACCAATATTTTAAGGTTATTCCTTTCTCTTCTTTTGCACTGATTTTAAATAGTGTGAATATCATATACCACAAATCCCATCTTCCAAAACAGATGATATTAGAAAGGGTTTTCTTGTTTACTCTCAAAAGGTCTCCTGAATGCAGCTAGTACCAACAGAGAGATTCTTCTAAAGGTAGTATAGGGATTTTAATTTGCCCCTAACCAGAAAATGATGGAAGCCAATGCAAATAACATTCATTTGATTCTGTAAAACTCATAATAAGAAATAATGAAGCATCTGGCAAACAGTGAAAGGTCAAGGAGAAAACATCTTGAAGTAGAAAGTGTGTCAGTCCCTCTGGCAAAGACTTGTAGATTGGTAAAGAGTGTTGTTGCTTCAGGAAGCCCTTGTATCTCATTTTTGGACTAAGCATGTATTTTTCTCCATGTGCCCAGTGTTGGTTTCAGCGTGGAATTAGTTCTTGCGACAAACAATGAACTATGTGGCTTAGTTCCGTTTTCTTTCAGACAAGGTTTAGAGGTAGTAGTCTCAGACTTTGTTGCTCATTGGAATCACCGGTTACCTTAGCCTGTTGTGTGTTTATTATACATTCCCTGAGACTGAGTAATTTATAAAAAGAGAAGTGATTTTCTCACAGGTTAGGGGAAGAGGAACCCGACATCGGGGTGGCGGTGGTCTGGTCCTCTGGCAAGGGCTGCTTTCTCCTTCCAAGATGGCGCCTTGGGGCTGCTTCCCCTGGAGAGAGCAGAGCGGGGCCTGCAGGCCGCTAAAGGGAAGAGGCCGAACCTGGGGCACTGCTCGAAGTCCGCTTTACGAGGGTCTTCACCCACTCTCCAGGGGAGGAGGCTTCACGATGCAATCACCCCAAAGCCTCACCTCTTACTGCCACTACCCTGGCCGTGAGATTCTAACCCTTGAATTTTAGAAGGCGCCCATTAAACCAAGCGCCAGGAGAACTGGTAGCCCCTTGGTGGCAGCAAGTAAGGGTTTCTGGGGATGAGAGGCAGCCTCAGCCTGAAGCTTCCCCCATGGCCCCGGTGCTTGGGCAAGTTCGAGAGCCTGTGACTGCCTTCTGGCGTTTGCTGGGGGTGCACACTCGGACGCACAGACCTCCGAAAAGCGAGACAGACGTCCGTATCCGTGCGCTGCTGTTAAAACAGGCAGGGGGAGAACGTGAAGGGCACAGCGGAGGTCGCCGGATAGAGCGGAGCGCCGTGGAGCCCACTAGGGTAAACACGGAGGTTAGCTGTGCGACGGGGCTCCTCACCCAAACATCTGATTTCATTCTTACGACCGGGAGTTGGACAGAAATGAGGCCACGTAAGTGAAGTTTCCCGAATACTAGCCTTTCGGTAGACTGTGTATTTCCTCAAGTGAACATGTTTCTAGATTCTTGGAAGAGAAAACTTACATGAGGTAGATGGTGTCCCCGAATTTGCGGCTGCTGACTGGGGTTTGTCGTTTTAGGAGGGATATGTTTGAGCACTGATAAATCTAGTACTTTAAAATCAACCTTTCTACCATTGGTTTAAATAGACAAGCTTTTTTTCCCTCCCATTTCTCTGGAAATTTTCAATTCCTAGTACTTTGGTCATGTAAATAATTTTACAATCTAATAAGACATACAATAAGAAGTAAGCTTCAATAAATGACTTTTGGGGTTTTACCCATAAACTTAAAATCCAGAGAAAACCAATTTTAGAGTTTATCAGTCAATTCTCATTTATATGAAGCAATATTTGTATGACAATTTTGATAAGTCTTCTGTCTTCCACGGTAGATACTGAAATACTAAAGTCAAACTAGTGACTTTAGTGTATTTCCTAAAAAGGAGAAAATTTACTATAAACTTAATCTAGATCTATGTTCCATAACTATTTTATATATTTAGAAATAAATTAATGGTATAGGGGATTTTTTCCACTTTAATTTTTTATTCTTCCTTAGATTACTTTAAAATACAGTACTCGAAATATGCTTTAAATTAAGTTAAATTCTGGTTATTATGCTCTATAAATATGCCAGAAATAACTGAATTATACTTAACAGGCAAATTTCATCATGTGATTATATTCCAGTGAAAATGGATAACAATAGAAGAAAAAACACCAACTCAGGTAACATAATAAACCATTTAAATGATAAAATTGTTTTGTTTTTGAAACTTGGATTCTGACAAAATTATTTGATAAAAATATTGCTCTTTATTTATTTGCGCCTTGATGCCATTTTAACAAACATTAATCTACCTCAGTACTGTCCTCTAAAATCCTGTCTGTCCTTGAAGGCTACCCAACATCTCACTGCTTAAACACAAAGGACCTGGAAAACTCCACAAATAAATATAGTACGCTTGCTACATGTGAGTGATTTTCAAGGAACTGGAGTTGAGGGAGGGGAATAGCAACTGTAGATATATAACAAATTTATGTTTAGAGTATATTTGCCAATGTTCTAAGAAGTAAGAAGCAATTCAATATAGAATTTTTACACTCTTAGAAGGATAATGAGTCAACACATTTATGTAGTGTTGCCCATTTGTGGTATGAACACAACTTAGTGTCTCATTTGGGAAATGAATTTTCCAGATGCCTGAAATTTGCCTCTAACTAGAGTGTCATTACAGAAATTATTATCAGTAGTAGAAAATACACAGAATTTGATTATTTAGTTTCCCCTGGAAACCTTTAGTTTTGTTCTTCTGCAACTAAAAGGTAAAGAGCAGATGTTGACAGATTATGATCAAAGTGGAGCTAAGCAAAAACAAAGGTAGAAGAAATAGGAGCAAGAGCTGAGAGGAGAAACATGAAATAAAGGAATGGCCACACTTTCCGCATGTAGCACTGCAGATCCAAAGGGCTTGCCTGCGTCTTACCACCTCTGGTGAGAACGCACAGTCTGAGCTAAGGCAAGTGGATAAGTGGTATTCCACACAGCACGTAGGATCAGCTCAGAATAGGGCTGACCTCCACATCAGTTTAGAGGAGTTCTGTCCAATTCCAACATTAACTATTCTCTTATTTCAAAGGAAAGTTCATGGCTCCCAATAAGGAAAAAAGAATCAAATTAAATGTCAGGAAACTAAAATTGCAGACCAATATATAGCCTTATTCAATAGTGTAATCATAGGTAAATAACCTATGAAGTGGCATCTATGTGTCAGAAGTATTCTTTATTTTATATGAAACAGTACATGGGTACTAAAAGATGCAAGAGTTTAAATTCCTAAAACCTAGAATTAAAATGAAAGTGAATAGATTATAATCAAATATATTCATTTTCCTCAAATTGTACTTTAAAAGCTATTTAAGGCATATTATAGCTTAAACTATCAGAAATAGAAGAAGGTGTTACAAGTTGGAAGGTAGTGACGTCTCAAGGGATGCATCCATTCATTCAGATCAATGCAATTGAAATCAGCCATTCGTTTATTCATTCAGCTATAATTTTTGAATGAAAACTCGGTTCTAGGAACTGTCTTGGGCTTTACTACTACGTAGTGAGCAAAGAGTTAAGGCTATGTCTTAGTAGGTAGTTTGCAAACAGGTGGGAGACAAACATCAATTACCGACCACTCGCATGGACAAACGTGAAACTCAGTGAAACAGTCAGCTGTGGGAGGTCATACCGAGATCTGAGCTTTTCAGAGAAAAGTCACAGAAGCTTGCTCTCAAAAAAAGTGATGCCTGGGTTAAGACATAAAGGTTAAAAAGGAGCCAGTGTGGGAAAGGAGGGAAAAAGATGGTTTGCCAGTGTGAAAGAACAGCATAGAGCAAAAGCACTGTACCAGAAGCAACCACGGGGCACCCCACAGAGTGAGTGAAAGCCTAGAGCAGAAGGGAGGAGACAGCAGCAGCGTAAGCTAAGAGTCAGTAGGAATGTGAGCTCGAGATCCTACGAATCTGCATAGATCACAGTGAGCATACCTATGAGAGCAGTGGGAACTATGGGAGAATTTTAAGCAAAAAAATTGTACGAATTGATCTGCTTCTAGACCTGTTATGGTTGTTTTGCGGAGAGTGGATGGAATTGGTACAAGAGTAAGTGGAGGTGGGCAAATTAGTCACAAATAAATGATGAAGAGGCAGGTGGTGTTAGCAGCTTGGCCAAAGGTGGTGGTGGGGACCAAGAGCATGAAAGAATTTAAGAAATAGTCAGTGGATAAAATCTGCATTGCATTTAGGGAGTAGAGGAGAGGGAAGGGTCAGGGAATAGTCCCGGTGTTCTGGCTAGTGAAACTGTATAGATTGGGAGATAATTCATTGGGTAAAGGAATGAGGTAGGGGAGAAGATGATGTATTGTGGCTTTACTGAATTTTTGGAGTTTGTGAAATAGTCAAGTAGAGATGTAACCAGTTAGAAAATATCTAGGTCAAAGGAAGATCAAGGCTTGGTACCTGTCAAACACAAAACTGTACAAAGTCTGCAAGATAGCACTGGAAACAAATCTCAATGCCTTTGGGCTTGATTGGAATATTAAAGCTCAGATCAATAAAAAAAGAACTGTTAAGCTGGATTTTGTTAAAATTAAAAATAGTTGTTGCTTGAAAGACTATCAAAATAAAAATTATCATGAAAATGAAAATATAAACCACAGACTGGGAGAAAATATTTGCAAAAAGCACAGCTGCTAAAGAACTTATTAAAATATCTAGAGAACTCCAAACACTTAACAATACAACCAGCCTAATTGAAAAATAGGCAGAAGACTCAACAGACATCTCATCAAAGAGAATCTAGACAGGAAAATATGCATATGGAAAAATTTTCAACATCATGCGCCATTCGGAAATACAAATTAAAACAACAGTGAGGTGCCATTAGAGTTCTATGAGCATGGCCCAGATCCAATATAAATCCAGAACACTAACAGCACAAACTGCTGGTAGGGCTAGGAAGCTGAAGGAATCCTCATTCACTGCTGTGGGATGAAAGACAGTTTAGCAGTTTCTTGCAAAACGAGACTTACGCTTGCCATATGCTGCAGCAGTACACTGCTTGCTATTTACCCAAAGAAAATGAAAACATTCCCACACAAAAACTCACACACTGATGTTTATAGCAATTTTACTCATAGTTGTCAAAAGTTGGAAGCAACTGAGATATCCCTCAGTAGTTGAATGAATGAATAAACTCTGGTACACCTGGAAAATGTATTATTATTCAGTGTGGAAAAGAAATGCGCTATCAAGCTCTTTATATGGGATTACATTCAATCTATATGTCAGTTTGGGAAGTATGCTCATTTTGAAAATATCGGTTCTGCCTAACCAGGAATAGGGGATATCATTCCATTTTCTGATGTTCTTTTCAATCATGGAGGAAACTTAGGTGCATTTTTTAAATGATAAGCAACTGGTCTGAAAGGCTGCATATGGCAAAAGGACAAGTGGTTTCCAGCGGGGAGAGTCAGGAAAGGAAGAATAGAAGAAACAAAGGACTTTGAGGGTAGTAAAAGTACTCTGCCTGGCGCAATAAGGATGAATATGTGCCTTGACACATCTTTCAAACCTATATATAAAATGTAAAACACTGTGGCCTTTGGGGGACACAGTGTGTCCGTGTAGGTCCCTCAGTGGTTACAAGCAAGCTGTTTTGCTAGAGGAGGTTGTTTGTGGTGTCAGAGGCTATATGGGAAGGCTTTGTACTTTCTGCCTAATATTACTGTGAACTTAAAGCTATCCGAAAGATAAAGTCCACTAAAATTACAGTGAGTGAAGACAATTCTTTCTAGAAACGTGTTAATGAAAGCAAGAAGAACATAGATATGGACTCAGAGAAAGAACCCCCAATTTGAATTTCTAAAATCATTCCTTGGTATAAGGATTTAAGACATAACTTTGTTTTTGGATTCTCTTGGGCAATGGCTAAAAGTCAGCCAAGAAGGAGGTCAAAGTGAAGTTTCAAAAGTTACATAATGCCATTGGACAATGCTCACAATGATCAAATTTCAAAAACAAACCTATCATATTTGCTAATGAATATGCTTAAGCCAAATCCTTTAAATAGAAAAGGTTCATTTTGATGGGTATTTATTTAAAATGTACAGCATACATTCCTGACATTCAAATGGAATGTGCTACTACCTATATGCCATAGTGCGTATCTCTTACACACACCTCCATTTCCTTTCTTTTTTCTTTTACGTTTTCAGCACTGGTGTTAGAATCCAAGGCTTTTGAGCTCCATTTCTAGTCCTCTTTATTTTTTTACTGTGACACATGGTCTTGCTAAGTTACTAAATTGTCCAGGCGGGGCTTGAGCTTGCAGTTCTCCTGCCTCAGCTTTGTAGTAACTGCAGCTGTCCTAACTGACATTACTCCTTTAAACGTCCTTTAAAAGAATCCCCCTCCCCTCCCCTCCTCTTCCCTCCTCCTTCCCTCTCCCTCTCCCTCTCACATTTCTGTGAAAAATCACCATTCACTAAAAGACAAGACTTCCTCTTATTTCCTGTACATAAGGCACTGTGTGCTTCACTATTTTTTTTTTTTTTTTTGGTACTGGGGATCGAACTCGGGACCTTGTGCTTTCAAGGCAGGCGCTGGAACCACTGAGCTAAATCCCTGGCCCACTGTGTGCTTCTATATGTTAGGATGGTGTGTGACACAAAGGATAGAGAGGAATAGTGATGAGAGAGAGAGAGAGAGACACACACACACACACACACACACACACACACACACACACACACTGAGGCTTTTTCTCACCAGAAGTATTGGTGTATGTGGCTGTTCACATCTATCATGTTCTGCTGCAAGCCATCAGTGTGCATCCCATTGTAATTGTGTTTCTGGTGACTGTCACGGCATCTGGCACACGAATGTCCTAAAAGTGCTTAATGGGTATAAATATTATGAACGCAAGGTCATTTCTCATTAAGTAAGGTATTTCTTTGTTCTCTTCCATCTATATAATTAAAGCACAAAGCCATTTTGTTTTCAAGAAAAATTCTGCCAATTATATGTTTAATTAGGTGGCATGAGAAAATGCTGTGACTTCTCCAGTCTGCAGGTGGGGCAGGCTGCTAGAGAGCGAGAGAAGGTAGACACATGAGAGCAGAAATCTCCCTTTTATATACATTTTTTTCACAATTTGCCTTTACCACTTGTTCTTTTTGCCACACAGTTAGTGAGGAACACGGTGGATGTTGGAAGTCAACTGAATTCCGTTTATGCTCCTGACAGGGTTGGAAGAAGTTATGTGCTTAGAAAGCCTCCTTAAGTCTCTTATATAGCGAACACTGGATAAATTGCTGATAATTGATGCTATTGTTATCATGCTTTTACCATTTTCCAGATATATTTGATGAAAAAGAGCATCATGCATCAAAAAGAACAAAACTACAACTGATGTTTCATGATTTCACCTTGTGTGCTTTGCTTTACACCTGCCAAGGAGGACATGAAGAGAGGGATCATCCCAAAGACCTCGCTGTTACAAAGGAAGAGCATAAAGATCAGCACCCAGGATGGGTGCGTCAGTGGTACAGGGGCGCGAGTTTGGGGTTTATGGAACTCTGATTTCTCTAAACAGATGTCCTCATCATGGAAGTTATTGTAGTCTCCACTTAACCAGATGGGATACCCAACTCCCTGTCGTGTTCAGAACTGACGGGGCTCATTAAGTTGGCTTTAAATTGGGTATTAAGGGAGGATCTGTTGCTTAGCCCAAATAATCTCAACATGCACAATGGAGAGAAGAGGGAGTTCAACAAGCAGAGATAAAATATAAGATAACTGATAAGTCATATTAACATACTGGACTTAATTGTCTCTAAGTAACTACAAAGTAAATGGGAAATTAAAAAGATTAACAGGAAACGTTCCTAAATGATGGAGACTATGACGTCATGCACACAATAAAAATAGAAAGATACCATTTCCTTGTTTGGAATGCCAAAACTAATACTGAAAATATGCTCCATAACAAATATTAAAAGGAAATTAAACTTGAGGATGAAGCACTGTAAACCAGACCCCTAAAAGTGGAAAAATGCCTTGCCATTTAATAGTGGTAAATAGCAGAGACAACCTTTTGAACAGAGATACAAAAAATGAAAATAAAAAGCTGCAGTTGGAATGTTCTTATATATAAATGGTAGGCATTCCTTTAATTTATAAAACCCCCAGACCAAGGGATAATTACAGACTCTCAAATAGATGATTGCTATATATTAAATACTGAATAAGCAATATTTATATGTACTGATTCATATGATAAATAAGTGTATCCACTGATAAGTATGAGCAATGAAATACTGACTGGACTGGTGTTGGTAATGACGAAGATGGTTTTCTTCTTTGGAAATAATAAACACCATACAGATACTGTACTTATTTTATTAAATAAGGTCTATTTTAATTTAAGGAACACATTTTACTATGTATGTTTCATAGGAGCACATGTCCAGATAGTTAATATTTAATGAAGAAAACAATGACTGATTGGATGCTACCTACATGACACATGATTATAAGGGCTAAACTAATTTATCAGCCTATCTTTAACTTCTAGAGAGTAAAAAGGAGCAGATTCAGCAATACATATAATTGATATAAAGTATCAACTGTTAACAATGCACACTTTAACACATTAGTTACAGGTACAGGTCTCAAATCTCTATAATTCTGTAACTTACTTAAACACATTATCAATCTCTCTAAAACTCTTTTTCTCCTCTATATAGTGAGGAAAATACTATTTATCTGGGGTTTTCTAGATAATTCTTGTATAACATTAATGCAGTGTAGAATGTAAAGGGAACTAAAAAAAAGCTAAGTAAAAAATTAATATAACCATTACCCAAACTACTTAAATCAAATTTTACCTGGGAATATGAAGATTAGAAGATAAAAATAGAACAGTAGTTTCCATCCGCAGATACTATTAGGCTTTGCCAATACTAGTTGATTAATAAAAATCCGTCTTTAGGAAAGGAGACATACTAATTCCCAGAGGAGAAGTGGAGCATAGGAGCACACATCTGTAATCCCAGTCCTGTGGGAGGCTGAGGCAGGAGGATCGAAACTTTGAGCCCACCACGGGCAGCTCAGTGACTTAACAAGATATTGTCTCACACTGAAGAAGAAAAAGGGCTGGGGTGTAGCTCAGTTTAAAAAAACCAAACAAACAGGAGGAAAGGGGAGAACTGAAAGTGAAGATCAGTTCATTTCCCCAAAATTACAGAATGAGGAAAGTTGTTCTGCCATGATATTTGTAAGTTTTTTGTTTTAAAGTTTTTATGAGTGTGTGTTTGTTGTCCACAATGGTTGCGTTCAGTGTGGGGAACCGACACGTGTGCATAACACATTTCAACTCTGCTTTTCCTGTTCTCCTCCAACCCCCTTTGGTGCTGGCATTGCATCCACTTATTAAAAATATTAGCGTCGTGAACTTCTATACCTCTCCAAGAAGTGGAAAATATGTTTTAAACATTTAAAATATGTGTTTCTTGAGATTATAATTCAAGAGCATATAGAAATTTTCTTTAACTCTTCCAGAATAAGAGTTGTGTTGATTCTTAGTGGTTATGGTGAAGGGTACCTAAGACGTCTCGCTTTAACCATGGGGAAGGGTGCCCTAGACGTGAAATGGAACACTGCAGTTTATATCAGATGTATAAAATTATAGTTTCTGGCTTTGGCCCCAAGGAGAAGCTCAACCTACTCGCTTCTTGTCTCTTTTTACACTAAAGCTGTCAGTCATTGAGCCAGGTACCTCGGTAGCCTTTGGACACATGCTTCGGATCCCAAAGGTTCAGGTTTCTGGTTTGGATTTCCCTTTCCCTGGTCCTCGGACTGTCCTGCACTCTCGGAAGTGCGGTCCTTTCTCCAGTCTTTGCTCTCAGGTCTAACCAAGCGTATTTATATCCCCCACATTAGAATGTTTCCTTCCAAAACCCTGGACATGGCGTCTTCGTACTTTATCATTTCTGCAGTTGTTCACAAATCACATCCTAACTTCTGAGTTTGATGAAAAAGGCCCCGCTGAAGCTTTCTCATCGCCTCCCCAACCTAACATTTCTTTCTTCCCTACATGACTGTCACATGCTGGTGACACGGAACGACACGGATGCAGGTCCCTGTCCTTCAACTTCCGCCCACTTTTCCTGTCAGGACAGCCCCTCCTCTTCTGCACTGCACACCACGCCCATCACTGAACAAACCCCACATGGAAAGCTTTCTCTGACTCTGGGTAGCAGGACAGGAATTTTCTCTCATCTGTGAAGCAGTCCTCAAATATTTATAAAATATATGAATTGAATAACTGGCTGTCACTCCTGATTATTATATATAATGCTTTTTTGTGAAGTAGGCTTTCTTCTGCTGGTATTTCCATTTCTTTTCCATTTCTAGAGATATTTTCATAAGAAAGTAAAGGATTGAAATATGTGAAGTGCATATGCCAACTTTCCAAAACAAACCCACCATCACCTAATATTAACATGTGCTAGTAAACTATGATGCAATAGAGGAATTTCCAGTTAAATCATAAAATGATCTGTCAGTTTTGTTAAACAAGTAAAGCTGATAAGGCTGCTGAAAGGGAAGGGCTGGCTGGTTTGCTGTGCCATTGGTAGGCTTGGTGTGAGCAGCCCATTTGGATACTTAAAAGGCAGTTTGGGGGTTGTCAGAGTAAGACAAACAAAAAGTCAATCAGTCGCAATAATTTAGTGAATAAAAACTGAGGACTGCCTCCATCAATAAAGGTAACTTTCACTTACATGTAAAGATTTGGTAAGAACTCTGTGTACCATATGCTGTGCCCATCAGTAATTACCAACAAGGCTACACTGTATGGAAGAGTAAGCCAACTGATAATCACTAGGTATTTAGTGGCACAGCTAGGATGTAACGCATGATCTTTTTTTGTCCAAAGACCATTTAGACTTATTTCCTTCCCAGACAGTGTCAGTCATCCCTTCTCTTATGCCTGTTCAACTGGCCCTTAGCTACCACATTGTTTAGATCTTCTGGTCCTTAGGAACTCACTAGTTGCAGAATTCTCCAGGGTAGAGTCTGAATCTAGAGGCGTTCCCTATCCCAGTGGCTTGCAGTATTTATATACTCTGAACTCCACTCCTAGATGTTGAGTAAGTTAATGGATCGATGATAAAAAAATCTGCATAAAATAAAAATTACTGTGCATAAACCACAGGACTACTCTGTTTTCTTCAGTAATTTATAAACATTTTGCGTCGAGTGAGCTCAGGGGACTTCTCTGCCAGCCTCCTCTAGGAAGCAAAGCCTCACCCCATAGTGAAAGCGGGTTTAACCGGGCAGGCCTCCACTCTCTTGTTCCGTGAGAAGCCAGGTTACAAACAGCAATGGGGCGATGAGGAACGTGTTTAGAGTGTCACACTTAAGATGGCTCTGAGCTTTCCCTCTGCTGCTGCCAGAGAGTGTTTAGGGAAGCAGAAATTTTCTTGTCCCAAATGTTGCTTTTCAAGCGTTTAGAGTAACATTTCCAAATTCGATTTCTCAGTCCATTCTGTATCTATCACCTTTGAAACTTGAAAGCCATGTCGCAGTGTGTGTGCTTAGCACCTAAATACACATTCTGCCTGAACTTAATGTACATGTTCGTGTCACAAAACCCTAAAAGCCCCCTCTTCCTGCCATTCAGTTTTGTGCTACACAACTTATTTCATATGCTTTTAGAATCATAGGTAAAATTTCTTATTACGTGCATGGAATTTTCTCTAGTTTTTAACATTTTATTTCTCCTTTATAAATTATCCTGCAATATTCTCAGTCATTGGTTTATAAAATGTTTCTTACGTTCATTTTGAGACTTACGGTTCTTTGCATCACAATAGGGACTCTGGTATGAAGAGCACAGCTTAGAAGTATAATTTTCCACTTTATTTTGTCTGTATAACAAAGTTCCAGCCACTTATGCTTTGTACCTTTCTTCAATGACCATGACTGTAGAAGTCCCATAGGAATCCTTTCCAATTTGTCAACTACCGTTACCATGGTAACACATGTCTCTTTTGGTCACATTCCTGCCATGAAATTGGGCTAAGAAAAGCATGACTTTGAGTTCTCTCTTTCTTGTGTTGAAGTCATCTGATCCTTCTCATCATTTCTGAAAGCTTTGGTTAGGCACAACACCAGGATTGCCATTATCGGCAATTTTATTCATGCTGCTTTTTTTTTTTGGTACTGGGGATCGAACTCGGGTCCTTGCCCTAGCTGCAATTTTATTCAAATTGCTCTTTAAGATCTAGCCAGTGCAAGATGAAATTCACTCTGCCCCCTTCAAGCAGTGAAGACTATTTCATGCGGAGTTGTTGCCATCACTAAAATGTGTGTACCACAGCACAAAATAAAACATCTGGAGCTTAACATAAAAATACATGTGATTTTAGAAGTTGATGAAGAAAGCATCTCAAAAAACTGTCACGATCCATTAACCAAAAGAAAAATATGATTTAAAAAGACTAAATAGACCTGGGGATGTAGCTCAGTGGCAGTGCCCGCCTCACAAGCACGAGGTCCTGAGTTCAATCCCCAGTATGAAAAAAAAAAGACTAAATAGAAAACTTAAGTCAAACAGTATATAGTATTCAGAGAAATGAAAATAGAAGCATCATAAAAACATCATTTTATGGACTAAATATCTAAGAAATACATATTCCTAAGAAAAAGATCTTTAATTTCCATTAAAGTTTGTGTCTGTATGAGTTAGAAACTAAGATTTACTGCTTGTAAAAATTAATATCCTATTGTTTCAGCATGGTTTATTGGAAAAACAGTAACACAAATTATATATTTTGCCTTTGTATAGTATTGGTACCCTTATCACAAATCAAGTAAATACATATGTGTCAGTGTGTATTCATTGTTCTATTTTCTTTCTTTCTTTCTTTTTTAAAGCCAGCCAGCCTTCTTGTGGTAGTATTTATTTATTTATTTATTTATTTTGGTACAGAGGATCAAACTCGGGACCTTGCACTTCCGAGGCAGGCAGCAGCACCACTGAGCTAAATCCCGAGCCATTGTTCTATTTTCTTGATCTATTTGTTTATAGAATATCACAACTCTATAATTACTTTATGCTTATGGTAACTCTTAAAATTTTATAGTTTGTTTTTCTTAAAATCTCTCATGTCTATTCCAAGTCCTTTGAATTTTGAAATAAATTTTGAAATCAGCTTGCTGGTATTTAGATTTTTATTTTACAGGCTCTAAATCAAATCTAGTTCAATTTTGGAAAATCAATGCATTAACAATACTGAACCTTCCAATCCATGAACATAGTATAATTCTTTGTTTACTTAGATTGTCTCTATAAAATCAGTATTTCCTAGTTTTGAGTGTAAAGACTTCCACATTCGTTTTCACTTTTATCCCTAAGTATTTGAGATTTTTGAGAATTTCATAGTTGGCATTGTTTTAAATTTCAATTTGAAATTTTTTGGAGTTAGTGTGTGGAAATTCTATTGATTTTCCATATTTCCTTTATATCCGGAGATCTTGAAAACACACATATTATTTCAGTACACCTATAAATTGTTTTAAATATAATTATACATATTTCATATAATTATATATATAATTACACGTATTTCATATAAGTTA